CCCTACAAATAAAACCTCCCCAAATCTATTGTATCACAAAACATTCTTGGAGTCTTAAGAAAATATGCAGCAAGACTACTTGTGTAATTAACAACCAGTTCAACTGTAACATCACTTCCCAACTTGCTTTTAGTAAGAATGTTAATACACTTGGGTTTTCAATGCCATAATCTGGTTTCATCTAAATGTAACAAAACTGATTGTTGGCATGTCGAAAATAAACCAGCTTTTGAATTTCCAGTCAGCTGTTCAGCCACATCTCCTACATTTCACTACAACACTGAAGTCCCCTTTGAACATCACCAAACAAAAACAAAGCAGGTTATGTAAACATTAATGTGTAATGCTACATAAAGAGGATCCTTTGGTAAGGCAAGGAATTAAAAAATTCTGGTGTTGCTTTTTTCCCCCTCTCCATTTGTATACATACGATTGAATGCATTTGTTCTTTGCCTGAACGTGTGGCGACCTATTTCAAAAGGTCTGAGAGGCAGCAGTTAGTAAAATACCTCCAGAGTCACTGGTACATGGTGATGTCACTTGAAGGTACAAGTATCAGATCATGGTACTTGTTATCATGAACTAAGATAAGACAGACCAAAGTTACTTTAGTGCAAATACTTATTTGCTGGGACAGATCAATGGTCCAGTTGAGAAGAGATCATGTGCATAAAACAAACAGAATCATGCCTGCTTGGGGTGTCACCTAAGCTATCACAGCATTAGCTCAAGTTTGTCACAAGTATGGCTCTATAGCAGGAACATACTTTGCAAACTAATTCTGGTTTGAAGACATACCCTCTGCACCAGGACAAGGATGAACTCAAATTCTTTAGCCAAGTCCTAGTAAAACCACTCACCCCTCCCAACAAACAACAAAGCGTAGGTCTGTCACCTAAACCAAACAGCTGTTCCTTGCAGGATTGGAACTGCCTGCTGGATACTTCTGGAGGAATTGGTCTATGAAAGCCTCACAGTATCATCATCTATATTATCAAGATCAAGTTAGACACCTCCCTGTTTTGGACCATTTCTTTACCACTGCAAAAATTTGGAGCTGTCATTCACTCTTGGTAAAGGACATTATACAGCAAGTACCTTCAACCGAGACATGCTAAACTCAAAAGTGGAGTTGCGGCAGACTGCACTGGCACTAAGGTGGAAAATCAACCCCCTCTGCTCCTTCTGAAGCTGTCAGAAGTGCAGCAGCAATATACATGAAACTGCACATAGCTGTTTCAGACTGCAAACGAGTGCTTTATCCCAACGTATGCCTCCTTTGAATGCTTCGGGGAATTAAGTTCAGTCTGTTAAAGTCACAGGGCATTGTCATTTCTGTCTGTTGTACAGCAACATCCTAAAACCAGAGCAGGAATGTCTGCCAGAGCTTTTCAGAACCCTACGCAGAAGCAGAGCTAAGTCGCATAATACTTATTGGTAAGTAATGGCAATAAAATTGATGCCTTGAAATCAGAGTGCACAGATTAAAGACAGCATTTCACTCTACTTGTCACCAGCTCCTGTCAGTTGGACACAGTCCAGTTTCTGCATCTGCAGAACAGCAAACATACCTATATGACCACATAGATCCCCCTGCAGCCTGCATCCAGAAGACTGTAACTGCAGGGTACTAACAAACATTTTTCAGACCCAAGAATTACAAACAGCACACTGGGCTCCCACGCCTTTGCTCCAAATACAAGATGAAACGCCAGAGCTTGCAGGGGCATCTCTCTTTACCGTCATATACAGTGAATGTTTATTTGTACCTGCCAGGGAAGGAATTTCTAACATAAATATCTCTCAAGCAACAACTTTAAACCCTGAGAAAACTAATCTAACATGTCTAATTAATTTGAACTGCCTCCTCAGGTTCCTCCCTGTTGCTCAATGCAAACATCTAAGACCCTGAAATACAGGGAGGCGTTTGTCACGAAGAAGTTAAGAAGAGTAACTGCCAAAACACATTCTCACACACATTTGACAATTACCTTTCCTGCCAGCCTGCATCTTGCTCTGAATGACTGCTGCTATTCTGTTTCTCATCCCCAAATTTTTTTTTAAGCCTAGCTCAAAAAAAACCCCAGCACAGGCATAAGATGAGGCACATTAAATCTCCATTAAAATTAAAAAAAACCACTTAGCATAAAAAACCAAACAAAAAACCTAACAACCATGCAAACAAAAAACCAGCATAATAATTTTTCCTCAATTTGTCCCAAAGGGTAATAAATTAAGTTTCCTCTAGGCTAGGAGGGAATAAATAGAACTGCAAATGAAGTACCTAAAGCAGTAATAAAAGCAGAAAACTAAATCTACTGCTTTTTAAGAGAAAAATTATACTTGC